TTTCACGCTTTAGCGATCGTCAGACAAACGATCGCTAAAGCGTGAAACCCAGGGTCACAACTCACATCTATCCAACCAAATATGTTAGCTCTTTCTCTGATATTGAGCGCTTTCTATAAGTACCGCGCATATAATATATAAATAATTATATATACTTATATTTATTTATATTTATATACACTTTTCACATATATATATTTATATATATATATATATATATTCTTCATTATCTGATGAGTTTACAATGGCTTGGTATATTACATTGCTCTCCAAGCAATTGCCGTTTAAGGAACATTCGCCCTTTGCTCTGTAGTTACATGTGGAATTGATTTGTGCGGGTGATTTGTTGGCTGCTTTTCTGTTTCGCTTGTGTTACTATTTGTCTGATGTTCTCGGTGCAACTATAGCTGATTTGTACTGCGTTTTTGTTGAATATCTTGCGGAAAGTGCTTTATGGGGGGAAGTATTTGTATGTGTTCATCAATATTTTTCTACGTTTGTTTTTACGTTTTACACACACACACACACACACACACACACACACACACACACACACACACACACACACACACACACACATATATATATATATATATATATATATATATATATATATATATATATTATGTGTCGTTAGTATAAAAAATCTATACGTCAGGAGACATTTACTCTTTTTAATTATGGCCGTGGCGTAAATCTTACATACTTACTGGTCGCCGGCTATGATTCCATCAGCACGAAAGTACATTCGGGTAAATGCACGTCCGGATAAGAATGTAATATGGACGTATTGATAAAGTCATTTACGGCGTCCACGCTGGAGTCAAAATTCGAAAGAAGACAAAGGTCAGTTGATAAAAGTAGAACCAACAAAAGGGAAAAAGCGGATAAATAAACAACCTCTTTTAACTAATCAAGCGGCGTCGCATTAATGTGCATATTCAGGATTTCACATTAATATATATATATATATATATATATATATATATATATATATATATATATATATATATCTTGAATTTTTCAACATCAGCTACAGGATAAAGGAGGAATTCTAATGTCTGAACAAAGCCTGAAATGTCAATGAGTCTTTTCAGAGTTATGGATAATAGATGCAAGCATTTAGAAAGTTCAGCAATGTCTGGCACAAGGCTTCAAGTATTGAGTGCCCAGTCAGGACGTAGTTACTCTAGGATAGTGCGCAAATCACTTTTCTAAAAGTTCAATGAATTTTGTCTTTCACTGCCCTTCTTCTCCTTGGGGGGTCTTACAAATGGATTACTCACAACGATTGTTCTATATACGGCTCATATATATATATATATATATATATATATATATATATGAGCCGTATATAGGACATGTATATTCTTTTTATACGTTATTTTTATAGATATAATTTTTATTATTTGAAAAGTATAAATTACATTTACCGAATGTTCGTGAAATTTCGTAGAAAATATGTGCTCTTCTAACAGGAATCGAACCGGTGCCCCTGATGACAATCGTCAAATAGCCTGACGTGTCGTTACAATTCATCGAGAAAAGCGCATATTGGGTACGAAATTTCTCGAAAATTCAGGCTGGTAAAAGTAATTAATACTATTTAATTAAAAACAGAGCATTTACTTAAATAAATTATATCTATAAAAATAATGTATAAATATAAAATATATTAAATAATTGTCGAACTTATTACATTTGATAATATATATATATATATATATATATATATGTATGTATGTATGTATTGTATTCTTAAAAGTCCATTTCGGTTATAATTTATTTCATGTATATAGTTAAATATTCATATCTTTAAACCAATTTTTTTTTTTTAGAAATGAATTTTTAAGTATTGTTTCACTTATTATTATATTGCTCTGTTATTTATATTTAGGTCTCCTTGATTAATGTCCTTCTTAGATTATCTAACAATTAATTGATATTATATATATATATATATATATATATATATATATATATATAATATCAATTGTTAATTGTTAGGGATAATTCCAAGAAATATATATATATATATATATATATATATATATATATATATATATATATATATAATACGTCTGCAATATATATATATATATATATATATATATATATATGATAACATAGTCTGAAGCCCTAAGCGACGAAACCCTTCAACTGAAAATATTTGTCTTCCATCTGTTCTCCACATATTTATATATTTCTAAAGAATTATGAGACTTTTTATTAATTATATTACAGATTATTCAGATAATATGGCTTGAAGTGATGTAAATATATATATATATATATATATATATATATATATATATATATATAGATAGATAGATAGATAGATAGATCAATACATCTGCAGTCTAATCCTAAAAGAATTTATCTTAAACAACAAGCATTAACTTTTGATAATTCTTTTCCTTGTCAATGCACTTAATTCGGTGAATATTAATGGTTTAATAATTAACCTTTGACAATTATGTAATATATTTTATATTTATACGTTATAGATAGATAGATAGATAGATAGATAGATAGATAGATGGAAGAAACAATGCATTCGTACGCTTCTCTGTGTGTGTGTGTGTGCGTGCGTGCGTGCGCGCCTTCGCGTATCAGTGTGAAAGCGTGCATTTTTGGATGATTACAAGAAGCACTTGTTGATCGAAGAGTTCAGCGTCGAAGCCATCACATCAAAAATATCGATTAAGCAATGTTCGCGATGTAAAGCGAGTCAAATCGGTACAATCGTCGAAATAGCGTCATTCAGGACATGCACCGGACAACCCCAGCAGTTGCGCTGCGTACACTCCGGCCTTAATTTATAGTCGGGGCCCCAACCGAACGCCGCCACTGAACAGGGCATCTGTACTCCAATCATGCGTTACGTACAAATTAACGTAGAGTTGAGAATTTACTTGCAACTTAATATTCATGGTAGATGCATTTGTGTTTGACGAATTAGCGTTTGATATCGATGCTGAGTTTTATGGAGCTGAGATTCGTTATGAAAACGGGTTTCGTCTGAAGGGTTTCGCATTCACCTATTATGGGCAGAGTTGCCTGTCAGAAAATATTTGAAACAATACTGAAGGACGATGGAATATTTAGCCAGTAAAAGGTATTTAATGATTTTCTGAAATAATTTGTTTTATTTCATTCGAAATACTGATTTAACATATGAACTTTTGTTTACTTGTAAAACTATTTCTAAAGAAATAATGGATATTTTATTTGTTAATCCAATAGATTTTTATTACTTAAACGCTATTTTTTTTTATTATAGTGGCTACCCATATTTGAGTAGATGCTCTAAATTTATTTATTAAGCAGTATATTTATTTATATTCGTCTACAGGCCTGAATATACGAGAAATCTTATTAATGAAAGATACATGCCCTCCAACAGGATTCGAACTTACCCTCTCCCTTTGCAGGAGAAACCGCTGTTAAATCCAAGGAGCTTATCCTAACTCAGCTACGGAGTACTTCGCCGAACATGCAAAGTTGACTCGTGCCTTATAGGCGCAAATCTTTCTCAGACTCTTGAAATTTTCATATCTGCTCAGTTTCGTATTATAACGTAAACAACGCAATTTCAGATCTAACGACGCTTATGTGTATATATATATATAATGGGATCTTTCTAAAACCCTCGAAACATTCACATCTGCTCAGTTCCGTATACAGCTGAGGACAGAATTATTCATCCCCGCTTCCATGATTACAAATAACGCTGTAATAACTTATTTTTTAGGGAAACTTTATGTGTATTTTCCAAATGATGGAGTGGTACCCACAACAAAGTTTTTATTTTAACGTCAAACACTAATATAAAAAACACCAAAAAACATTAACATAGGACAAAATTATTGGCCCTCTTACCTCAAAAATCAATTTTGTAACCTTTATTTTTTATTATTTCCTTTAGACATTGTTTATCGTTCCTTACAATATAGCAATACACACTGATAGGTATTTGGCTCCATTCTTCCTTGGCAATAGCTTCTAGTTATTCCAAATTAGAAGGATTTCTTTCTCTTACTTTTTTTCTTCAAATATGCCCATAAATTTTCAATGGGGTTTAGACCAGGACTTTGTACGCCAATACCTTACTTTTGATGTCATCTATTTTGTAATAATTCGTGTCGTGTGTTTCGGGTCATTGTCATGTTGAAACGTCCATTGGCGTCCTAAAGAAAGCTTTCGTACACTTTGTTTTATATTATTTTTAAGAATAGCCAAATACTGCTCTTTATCCATGATACCCTGTACCCTCACTAATTTTCCTGGTTCAGAAGCAGCAAAAAATCCGCTGATCAGAATGCTTCCACCACCGTGCTTAATTGTAGGGAAGGTATTATTTTTTTTTTTTTTTTTGTGAGCTTCATTGACGTGCCTCCATACATTACGGGAGTTCATGTAACCATAATAATTTTGGTTTCATCTGACTATAAAACAGAATTCCAATATTTATTCCCATATTCTCCATGGATTATAAAATAACCTAATCTTCAATTTATGTGTTTAGCTTTAAGCAAGGGAGTTTTTCTTGGGCAACAAGTCCTGCGCGATGAAAGTATCTAGTGATTGCCTTCATCGATACAGTCAACCATGATGCCTTTACATCATTGATAATGTTCTTCGTCGTTAAGCTAGGATTCTTCAAGACATCTCTAACAATTTTTTTTTCCATTCTCTCAGAAATTAACCGGTTTCTGCCAGTCCTTAATTTATTCTCAACACAAAGAGTCTCGTTGAATTTTTTGATAATGCTATGCATTGTTGATCTAGGAACACTTGGAATTTATTGTATATCAATCACCATGTTTGTATGCATCAACTATCTTGATTCGTAGCTTCTTGTCAAGTATAGACGTTTCGGCATGGTTGCAGAACGAATTGTGGCACGTGGCACTCACATATTGTCTTCTTGATTACCTTTTGGAATGTTATAGAATCAGACAAATACTATTTTATTTTCAAAGGGTGTTTGTATTAAATGCCAGATTAAGAAAAAACATTACAATTGCCATAGAGCAATATTATTTCATAATTTCCATAAGTGTGGGGTGTGAATAATATGGGACTGCACCAATTATTAGAAAAATCTATAAATATGAATATAATAGATCGAAACTTCTAAAAATTTCACGAATTATTCAAAACTAAATACGGAATCAACTATTTATGGTAAATTCAGTAAGGAAATGGAAATATTTACAATTCCTTAGAAAATATATAAATATTCAATGGGGGCGTATAATTCTATCCTCAACCGGATATAACCAAATCTTTCTAAAACCGTCCAAACATTTTTATCTGCTTAGTTTCGTATCCTAACTTTAACAAAGCAATTTCAAAGACTGGAAAGTGGAGAGTAGGTAGCTCCCGCCTAAATATGAAAAAAAAATTCTTCATTTTCAGCCTGATCTGGCTCTTATAAAGGTAGAGGATAGCATGAAAAGTCAGGTACTTACTGAAGCAGTACAGGGAGCCGACCATTTTACCTGCATCTTTAGCGATGGATTGTATGTACGGGTTTCATATATAAACACACACACACACACACACACACACATATATATATATATATATATATATATATATATATATATATAAAAGTGAACATATCGTCTTAGGCCAGTCTGTTTCATGCTATATGCAATCGTGTGGCCTGACGATTGCATGTGAAACAGACGTCGCCTCTAAGTGTTGACTTCTATGTTCACATTTATATTTACACACGCTCTATCTCTGATGTTGAGCACTTTATTCCATAAATATAGCACACCTAAGAATATATTTCTTTTTATATATATATATATATATATATATATATATATATATATATATAGGAAACTACATTCCTGGTCCCACCAAGTCTCAGTATATATATATATATATATATATATATATATATATATATATATATATATAAATATATATATATATATATATATATATATATATATATATATATATATATATATATATATATATATATATATATATATATATATATATATATATATATATATATATATATATATATATATATATATATATATATATATATATATATATATATATATACTGTGACTTGAGGGTCCAGGAATGTAGTTGCTACATCCCACCTGTGGGAGAGAGGTTGGAGGGTGGAGAATAGTTTTTCACCCACAAGTAATTAGAGACGCTTTTGAATTGTATCAAGGCTGGAGAGTGAGGTCTGGGCAGATTCCACCTAAATACGACAAAAGTACTCCATTTTCAGTCTTATCTGGCTCTTATAAAGGTAGAGGATAGCATGAAGGAGCAGGTACTTACTAGACGGGTACAAGGAGCCGAATATTTTACCTGCATCTTTAGTGATGGATCGTATGCACGAATGCCTCTGCGAAGACAGAACCGTTCATCGTGACTGTCAGTAGTTCGGGGTCCAATCAGTGATGATAGATAGAATGAAAACAGTTTGGTTTTCGTGGCACTGAATGTAACCAGCCAGTTTTTCCCCACTGGAAAGTTAGTACTTTTCTTAAGTATTTCACCTCAAGCAAGGCAGGAATGCCACTAGCACGCGAGGTGTTACAGAGAGTGAGATTAAAGAGGGGTGTTTGGGGAAAGAATAAAGAGAAGGCCGGGGATCAAGATCAAGGCATCAGATTGACATTACATTTGAATATTTATAGCTATCAGGGAAGCAAGTAAGAGGAAGGTAGTTCCACTGTCGGGAAGTGATGCCAAATTAGTAACACGTTTAAATTCATGCAGTTTGGGAACCAGTGAAAGTAGCTTGTCAGAGCAGTTGCCATGAAAATACTTGAAAAGACAGAGGAAAGCCACAGCACGTCTGTGAGAAGAGATACCAGATCAGGACCTATCACATTTCATATCCATTATCGAGGACCTCGAGATGAACAGCGAGGGGACACCAAGCCATATATGGCAGCAGTATTCAATGCAAGAACGAATGGCTGATTTGTATATTTGAAGGATGGACTCACTCGAAAAAAATCTTCTGGCGCGAGAGAGAGAACCAACTTTCTCTCTCCTACAATACAACATCTGTATATCTTGAATTTAACCTTTATTAAATTTATATTTGGTTTGCAGGTATACGAGATTGAAGGGTATTTTTATAGATTTCATGAAATAAAGATTATTACGATGGTATTTTAAGTGTTTGAAATTCGTATTGGGGTTTTGCTCTGACACTGACATAGAATGTTTATCCGCTTGGAAATTCTATACGGATTCTCATTTTAATTTATTATATATATACAAGAGGTTGCATGTCTGTATCAGATTGCGTTTCCAGACGGAAAAAGAGCCATGAACAACTTACCGAGGTTTCACCTAAACGGGTCTTCAGCCAGCCTACACTGAAGATCCGTTTAGGTGAAACCTAGGTCGGTTGTTCCTGGCTCTTTAGAATTTATTCCATTTATCCTTGCTCTGCTTAGCGTATTGAGCACTCTACGTTTTAGATTTTTTACTCGCTTGGTTTTTATTTTTTTGGACTAAAAACTTAAAAACGCTGAACGATTTATTTCGCTCTGTTCGGATGTTTCTAGTTTTTTCTTTTTTTGGCAATTTTTACCCCCGTTACCAATTTGTTTTGATATACTCACAAG